TGGAGATCCATTGCATTCCATTGCCACATTTCTGGAAGATATTTTATGCCACTAGTTGATACTATAATATATCAAACATGTAGTCTCAGTACGGAGTCTCAACATTGACGCCGGAGTTGCCATCTCTACTCAATGCCCCGTTGCTGCTTCACCTTTGTGGGTTTGAAGCCATTTAAGGCCATGGGTTTGTCTCAAAATAGGGTTCCGGTACCCCAATACCCTGTGGTTTGTCACTATTCTCTCATTAAATTGGCGACAAAATGTCCTAAAATCTGAGCCCATCCCTCATTTCTGGGTGACCCCATCTGCTGCGGTCTCCTTCCATGACTTTCTTGTCAGCGTCGCTAACGGGCGTGGCACACCGATAGGGAAAGCTTTTGAATTGAGACCAGCCGGCTGCTATAACTTGGCAGAGGGCGTCGCGGTGTTTCCACACTGCTCGGGACACAGAATAGAGTAGGATGCCTTCTGTGAGGAAAGATGCCGCCAAATAGGCGATAGTTCCTCAGGCAAATGTGAAATTGTTCTGAAGCTGGATGTCCATCATTTGTTACCCCAATTCGAGATGTCTACCATGCCCAAATTTCATTAAACCTAGCATACGCATCCTTCATATGGATGCTCAAAATTTGGCACCCCTGAAATTGGGGAAGCTCAATACTAAAAGATTATCATATTGTTCTATAACATGGATAGGAATGTTTTTTTATTGGTACAGTAGTCATTCACCGCGTCTTGCACTCCAAGGTTCCTGGTTCCATGACTGCAACTGTGACTAGTCCCTAGGTTCCTAGATTTCACAGCCTTGTTTCACAAGGCTCTTGATCCATACTTTGGCGGCGATGATAGGGCTGCGTTCCGCCAGCAGGGGGGCGGGCGTTTGAATACCATCATTGGCATTGTGGCACATTACAACATGTTAGCCACCTACGAACCTTCCCAATTGACGATTCACTTCCCTTTTCCACATGTTATATAAGCTCTTCAAATGCGCACAACCTGGGCCAAGCCCATGAAATCCGAAGGCAACAACAGGACCAGTCGAATGAACCACTCGAAATAAGCATCGAATGTCCTGTGACTGCAATTTTTGTTGCAAGGGCTGCAAGGCATCAGCTCGAGCCTGGCTTGCCAGTGCGCTCACAGTGGCCTGGCCCCTGGTGCCTTTTCATCTCTCCTTTTCAGGAGTTTATGTGGTTGAGCATCGAATGGAACGAAGAGGTTATTTGATGATTGACATGCCCCAAAACACATTGAATTACATTGGATTGCATTGCATTGCATTACTTGACAACACATCACATCGCATCACATCACATTACATTACATTGGGTTGCATTATATGACATTGCAATACATTAGATTCATACCATGCGCACCTGTATGCATATATATATATGTGTGTGTGTGTTATATATATATGCCCGTGTGCGTGTCTGCATTAAAGTACAACAATTTAAATCTTGCCGTTCTCAATGCACCCCGACCACCAGGTGCTGCCGCCTGTTCTTTGAGTTTCCTGCGCTCTGCGCGGCTCAGGGCATGGCTCTTGGCATCCGGGCTCACCTCACAGAACCAATGGGAATGGAGGTATCACCCCAAGGTGGATATGTATTAAATTATATATGCGTTACTCCTATGGCCATGTACAATGTACAAATACATCATCATACATGGTGATATTATACAATACTATACATATAGTTACCGGCTTATTGAGTTAAACTGCACCTGGAGCAGGCAGTAGTATGCTGCAATGACTGATCAGTAGAACACGTCACACTATGGTGAATCGCTTTTGAGTACAACTTTCTCTTCCAACTCTCTGTTTAACGCAGCCGTCAGCATCGTTTTGCCCAAGGCTGGATTCTTAAAGGATTTTTTGACACACGCCGAAACTCCAACCCTAGCGCAAAATGCTGGGAAACATACGGAAACCTGAGGTTCCAAGCCGCTTCGCCCAATGGTGCCATCGCCAGCGTTGCTGCTAACTTTACTGAAAAGCCGGCTGCAGGGCAGGTGGCATTTTGTGCGGAAGACCATTTGGTGGTGTGGGAGGCAGCCTCAAATTTGGGCCTGCCAAATCCCACATAGCCATCTTACAGTGGGGTACAACTCCCGTCAAATATTAAGGCGATTTAAGATATAGAGTCTATAGAGTCTATACAGTCTATAGACTTTTATAGAGTCTATAGAATCTATGCTTTACATAATCTTACATAGCTATCATACTCAACGTCTGTCGCTGTTCATTCGTATTTCATCAGCCAATGAAGCCTTGCCCGCTGCATCTGTGACCAGGCACCTGGAAGAGCACTTGGGCCCGAAGCTGGTTGCCAAATGTGGACGCCAGAAGAGCAGTTGTTGTTGCCGGCGTCGGATCTGATGTTGGGCAGTATGGGACCCCCAGAAAACACACACTGTTGATTGGACCACAAAGATTGAAGAGAAGTGACATAGAAGACTTCACGACACGCACAAACTTAAAAGCGGTGCGCCAAATTAGCGCCAAATTAAAGGGTATCTACCCGATATTCATGGATTGTACCTGTAAAAACTGCTAAAAACTGTGGGCTGGGGTTCGCCAATTTGAACCCACACCCAAGTCAGTTGTTCCTTTAAAATGTATTGCCAGTGACTTGCATTCCCCTTTGCTAGAAGAACGACGAAAGCACAGCTTGATGTAGCTATGTTCCAGCCTTTTCCATCAAGAATTGATGCTCTTCATCCAGTAAAGATTTTTTAGTGGATTATATCATAATATCACGATGTTCGGGCAAAGCCTATGCAAGTCCAGTGGACGGCCTGTCTCTCGGATGTCCACCACAAGGCAAGGATTGATTAAAATCCATTAAAGAAAATAGCAGCGTGAGCGTGTGTGTGTGTGTCAAGTTTCCCTGGCCTCTTGCAAGTTCATTGCCCAAAGCCTGCGTAAAGCCCAACGAGTGCCTTGTTTCAAGGCAGGAAGGCTGTTCAAAGCATTTGTGCCCAGCCAAGTAATATCACTCGGTAATACTCGGTATCCAAGCACCACACCAGCCACATCATCACCCAAGCGGACCAGCACTGCGAAGTCCTTAGGTTTCAACACTAGGGACAGCGGCATCGTGCTCTAGGAAGGTTTTTGGGTTGTATATCTTTCCATCCTTTCCTATCAACGTCACTGCCCAAAAAAAAGATGCCCACCTTGTCACCAAACACACCGACCCATGGAACCGCGCCTCCCATGGAACCGCGCCCTGCAAAGGCAGCACCGGCTGAGTTCCGGGGCCTGCGCCAGCGGCAGTCCCAACACATCGTGTTTGCCCAGAATGCTGAGGCCACCACTGAGAAGAACGACTGGAACGCAGCCTCACATCGTTCAACACGTCAAGAAACATCAAAAATCACCTGGGTCGCTGCGCAATCATTCTGCACTGGAATCATGTCATTCCCAAGAATGAGTGCCCTTACCAGTAAGATGTAGAGCAAAGCTTTCTATGTTCGCCTGCCGCCAGCACGTCCGAAAGTCGCTGCCCCAGGGCGGGAGCATCGCCAGGAGCCACGATGCACAAGTGGCTTTGGCGGTACCTTGGGGAACCAGCTTGGAGGCCCCATGAAATACCACCGGAGGTGACTGTTTTCTGACGTGACGAGACATGGTTTTTGGTTGCAAGCAATTTCATCTGTGCAAATCCATATCGACATACAACATCATACAACATCTAATCTGTATGTCTAACACCGTGTCTGTGCTTGCAAATATAGTGAGAGAGAGAGTATATATATATGTGTGTGTGTGACCATTATTCTTATTACCATTATTATAATTATCATTATTATTATCGTTATCATTATTATTGCTATTATTATTGTTATTGTTATTATTGTTATCATTATTACTAGTACTAGTAGTAGTAGTAGTAGTAGTAGTAGTAGTAGTAGTAGTAGTAGTAGTAGTAATAGTAGCAGCAGCAGCAGCAGTAGTAGTAGTAGTAGTAGTATTGCTACCCATTATTATTATTAAGAATATATGTGTGCGTGTGCGTGTGTGCGCTGAGAATATACTTTGCAGTGTGTGGTATACATATGATTGTGATATGTGCAACTGCTGAGTTGCGAGCATCTTCTGCAACCAGCTTCGCTGGGTCTGCATCCTTAGACCTGAAACTCTGAAACATCTGAAACCAAACAGAGCAGCAATAGAAAAGGTTCTAAAGTTTATATATCTAAAGTTTTTCTGGCTCACTTGCAGGCAAGCTGGTAGATTTCATTAGGCTCCTATCACCAAAACATACCAAAATCACAGCTATGGGACGACATGAAGAAGACCGCTTTGGGTTCGCCACGCTGCGTGTGATTCAAAGGCTCTGCTGTGGCATTTAGCTGCACCCAGGCCTCTGAAGCGACATGGCATGCCAAGGTGGCATGATCAAGGCAGAGAATGGCATTGCACTTGAAAACTCACAACATCTGATGACTGTAAATTCGGCATCCGCAAGACACGAGCTGGACCAAATTGTACCAACCACCGAGCTGCAGCTAAAGCGCTCTGAGCTGAAGTTTTGGGTTTTTGACTGACCAAAGGTTGCCACTTCGAACGACCGGGAATTCAGCGGCTGCAGCCCTGGATGCATAGTGGGACATGCAACTTCCCCAATGTGAAATTCCTGCCATTTCCTGCCTCAAAAGAAGCACCCGCTCATGGTTGGTTGCCTTCCAAGAGTTGAGGTCTTGGCATGTCTTGGCTGGATCTGATCGAAACCTTTCAAATCTGTGTCAAGGTGTGTATATATATATATATACACGTTTGTGTCGGTCCAATGAGCCTGAAAGCCCGCTCAAGAAAAAACAAATGGAGCTGCCTGCACTGACCCAGAAAAGCTCAGCCGTGTCTTTCTTCCATCCTGATGTCAGAAATGCTTGAAGCCGCCCTCCAAACAACAAACAAAGCAATGCCGCGACAATGCCGCGAGGCCATGTTCTGTCTTTTCTTCTGCAGGTCAGTGCTTGTTTGGGTGCGCTACGATGCTCGGACGGTCAGTGTTGCTACATTTGCAGTCAGTGGCAGCCCCTGCCCAAAATGGTTGAAGACCAATTTCCATGGCTCGGTGGCTCCTCTTTCTCTTCCTCGCAGTCCTCATGCAGGGTGAAAGGCACGTTCACCATACGCCTCGAAGTGCAGGCATGGCCCATGTGGCATGTGCTAAGGGATTTCCATGGATTTCCATTGGCTCATGGGACCTGTCAGGAAGTGTCCATGTTGGGTACAATCACAAGATCGCTGGTTGGATGGTTCAGTGATGAAAGCGGTCAGTCCATTCAGTGAGCCAACCCCCAATAAAATAACATACCCAAAGTGCTATAGATTCCTATGGTTCCTGGGTGGTTAGCTGGTCGTGGTTGATCCCAATCGCTCTCCGACTCCCACGACTCCGCACCTGGCGCTGTAGAGATTCGCGGCCAACGCCCAGGCTCCTGGACCTTCGGAGAGTTCACCTGTGGGGCCCTGTGGACCAACGCCCGGACCAAGTGTCACCATAGTGAGAATGGCGTGCGGAAACCCAATGAACATCATTGAACATCAATGAACATCATTGAACATCAATAAACCATCACCAATTGTCCCGAAAATCAGATGAAATTGGTGATAACCACCCAAAATTGGGTGGTTTTGACTCGCGCTACCACATCAGAAGATTAGAACTCACCAATTGCCACAAAAAAAAATGGCAATGTATACTGTATGGCAATGCAAGTCTTACAATTGGTTCTTTTGCAAGAAAGCGATTTTCAGGAGATGATGTGGGACAAACCCTGAATGAATATTCAAGGGATATGGGTGAATATTGAGATATATGTAATATACCATGATCACGTTTCAAAAAAAAAATCAGCTCAAAGGCGAGACAAAGAGATCAAAGAGCCTGTTGTCAGCGTCACCATGTTTCGAGTGCTGGCATAGAAGGCTCGTACCATCCAAAGTGTCGCCTTGCCCCAGTGCGGTGTTGAAGGTCTTGGGTGCAACAATGATATCTAAATTCTGAAGTGCAATCAGAGAAAACAGCCAGCGAAAGATCTCTGCGAACAAACACGAACATCAAGGGACCGGGATGCACTGCCAAATGTTAAACCACAACCTGCGCACAAAAGATTGGATTTTCACGAGCCTCTAAAACATGTCAGAAAATCAATCATGGGTCTTTTCTGGTCATCTTCTTCTGTTGCAGCCAGACATGCGATCTGGCATATGCTCCTTGCAAATGGCCATTCTGGGATACGTGGCCCTTCAAGAAGGAAGTGAAATGCTACGAGCAAACCACTTATACTTACACTTATGCTTCTTCCCCTTCTCCTTCTTCTTCTTCTTTTTCTTCCTCTCCTTCTTCTTCTTTTTCTTCCTCTCCTTTTTCTTCTTGTTCTTCCTCTTCTTCTTCTCCTTATTCTTTCTCTTTGCCTTCTTCTGCTTCTTCTTCTTCTTCCTCCTCCTCCTCCTTCTTCTTCTTCCTCCTCCTCCTCCTTCTTCTTCTTCTTCTTATTCTTTTTCTTCTTCTTCTGCATCATCAAAATCATTATGATCATCACCACCAACAACAACACCACGACCATCATCATCATCATCATCATCATCATCATCATCATCAAGGCACTCTAAGGAAATTTAACAACGGCAATGTCATGCACCCGAAATTCATTGTCGGCTTCCACTCATCTTCTCAGAAGCTTACGCCCACCTCTTCCCTCGGTCGGGGACGCCCAAAGGCGAAGTCAAAGTCCGTCACCAAAGGATATTCCTTCGAGTGAGCCACCAAAAAGAGCCGCAGGGGTCAAGGTTACCCCATGGGCCAAAGATATCCAATATGCCCTGTTCCCCCTGGCTATTTCCTGTGCATGGCTTTCCTCAACATCTGGCCCTGCGCCAGGCATCCATGCCGTGCACATAGAAATGATCATAGCCCAAATTACCTTAGGGCAATGCTTTGAAGCCTGGTGTGCATTGAAGCCTCGAGCCACGACCCACTCTGAATCTGAGCCCCAATATTCAGACATGGGGGGGGGCCTGAAACTCCCTCATTCTAGTATTTTTTGACAATGCGCAAGTCCACCTCTTTCCGCCCAGTGACGCCAATAGAGATGGCTGGAGGTTAGAGCAACAGAGGCCTCTACCAAGCAGCGCAAGCTCTCCTCTGATGCAGGTAATCCCTACCAAGTTTCTCTAGTAGCAAGTCAGGTCATAGAAAGTACTTTAAGAGGATTCTTTGAACGACTTGTATGAGTCCTAGCCTCTGAAATGCGCACAAGCAGCCACACAGGTCGTCCAGTCCTCATCGTGTATGGCAATCAGCCTTAGCAAAGACCCCCAAACCCCGACTGAATATTTTGGTAGTGAAAAACCTGCATGCTTTGATGGTAGTGCCAGTCACGCAAATGAAAATATCAACAAAGGGCAAGTCCTCTCCTCCCGGGCTGTGACCCCCACTCATTCCATTACTTCAGAGGCATACGTCACAGAGTGAAGTCTTCAATGCCATCTTGTAAGATATACTTCACGCAGCTAAAGTTCTGGAAATGATCCGAAAGCATGAGTCACACCGTATACCCGCAATTTTGCAGGAGATGGTATCCGATTGACAAATAATTAACGCACCAGAGACATCCAGAATCTGCTTCCAGCACTGATGCATCCAGCAGACAAGGCAAAGAAAGAGGGTACGTAGTAAACTCCCTGTGGAATCCACTCAGGTGGTCCATCTGGGCGTTGTGTTGTCGTGTTGGCTTTGCTGATGATGCGCTGGTGGAAGCCTGGCAGATTGGGACTGGAATCGCACGAAGAGGGGGGGCAGTATAGAGTCAACAAGACTTAGGTACCAATGTGTGTGTGTGCATCCGCCTGCATATGGCAGAATTATAAGTGCACACATAATTCACGTGTCTGCGTCTGCGAACGTATGTACTGTAAACATACCACCAGACTGTAGATCTAAGGGCGTTCACATACTCCACAAGCAGTGGGGTCAGGACAAGCAACATCCAAACCCTGTTTGGTTTGATAAATCCATGCCTCGGACAAGGTCTATGACCCACTTCATCCGGGCAAAGAAAGCTTCTCGACCTTGCGATTGGAACCAACCCAGAGCGGAGCGATTCAATGACAATTCGAAAACCAACAACTTCGCATTGCTTCACATGTTTGAAATTTGGTAACTTACCGGAAGACAGGTTCAGAACCTATTAACCTGCAACAACGACCTCGCCCAGAGCAGGACATGACACTTGGTGAGTCGCTCAAGGTTTCAGCAGAGTCACGGGGTGAGACCTGGTAGTAGCTGTAGCTCAGCAATTGTTCCTTGGAACACTTGGAATGTCATGTCAACACGTTGATGATGTCGGATGCGCAGTCCATCTTTGAGGCGCTGACTCCTGCACAAGCAGGACCATCTAAAACGAAGATGTCCTGTCAAATCCAGCGGGGGATGGAAGGGATGGAAGGGCTGGAAGGGGAGCAATCCATCGGCGTTCAGGTCGAATGCAGGTGTTTGGCAAATGCCACGATCTAAAGTTGTGACAGTATCCTTTATCAAACGCCGTTTGGAAGTCAAACATTCAAATCTTCATCATTTTCATGGGCCAACTACCATCCACCATCCCCCAACATAGACTCGCTCATCACCGAAATCGAAACCAGAAAGAGCCATGTCCAAACACAGCCTGAAAATGTGTTTGCTAACCCCGATGTATTGATAGAGGCATCCAGGCATCCCAAAAAAAGAGACATCTCATTCATGATGCAGGATAGATCATCATGTTTTAAACCCAAGAAAACGTGGTAACCTCTTGTGACTCTTGTTGATGAACATCTCATGGATTCCCATTTGATCCTGTTGGCCTTGTGAAGCTCCAGTCCTGCACCATACCGGCCATACCGGCCATCATCTTCCACGCCCATGGCTGCACCAGGAGCTATGGCGGTTCCGACAATGTGGGGTACCATGAGGTACCCTCAAATCATCCAAATGATCTTTCCAGATTTTGCTCATTCTTGTTGGGTAACCAATGGTTTTAGATTGGTTTTTTTGGCTGGATTTTGAAGAAAACCCACAAAGGTGCGCTGAGTCAAAGCCTTGGACCATCGGAACTGCCTACGCATGTCGCGCGGGAAGGATGATATGTTTGAAGTATCATGATATATCATTGATACCCTCTGGTTATGACTAACATAGCCATGGTATAGATGGCCCATAGAAATAGATGGTTTACCTAGCTATAAAATGGTGGATCTTTCCATGGCTATGTTAAATAACCAGACGGTATCTTCTATGATATATCATGATATCACCCTGCCCCCAAGGCTCCAAGGGGCCTCCACTTCTCCCCTGCCCAAGGCTTGGAGCTGGGTCACCGACACAAGTTTCGTCGAAATGTCATCACTGGATCTAGTTGGCCTCAGTCAGTTCAACCATCTTTCCTATGATTAATGACTGAAAATATTGAAAATTGAAATGTTATCATAATCGTTATTGACCATTATTACCAGTCTTAACCATTATTTGTTAGCCATTAAGACTCTCTTAATAACCATTAGTAACCATCTCAAGAGCAAAGTCTGATTCCAAACCACCAGACATCCTGCGCCCAAAAACAAACCATCCAAAGTCTTACCAAGAATGATATAGAAATCGTAACATTCCATCCCCAAATAAAAAGGGCGTATGGCTGGCTTTTACCACATCCCTTCTTTCTTTCTGTCCAACGCCGAGTTGCTCTGAGAATGCAGGATGCAATCGGAGAAACTCACAGGTGGAGACCTCTGCAGAGCTGGCGAGCAGCCAGCATGCAATGGGCATCACTGGAAGACATTTTAGTACCCAAGGATCAAATTTCAAAGGGTTCATAACTACTAAAAAACATGAAGTGTCAAAGGCATCCTTTAACACAGCCTGTCTTGGTCTGTTTCTCTGTGAGTCTAACGGTTCATGATGGCAACAGCAAAAGGAAAGCTAGCGAAACTTGATAAGTCACTGGGACACAAGCATGACCCCGGCCGCGCGCCAACTGCAAGGCACTTAAGCAGATCTTGCCTTCAGGAAAACGATCGGACGAAAAACGGCAACTTTCTGCCTGGTGCTCTCATTCCTGGACTTCATCCCTATCAACCAATCACAAGGACCAAAGTCGTTGTCAGGGTCAGCGAAAAAAAGCAGGGGAAAACCTGTCATTTCTGCCAAGGTGCTGCATGGCCGCAACCTCAAAATGCCAAACTGCAAGCCACAAACTTAGCCAAGAGGCCTACTTAAGTGAGTGGTCACGGGTTCTCTCCAATTCCCGATAATCCTGTGCCTATCTCAATGATCAAACCCTGAGAATCCGAATGCAAAGCCACCGCTCAGACTCCAGCATGGCATCGGCCGCTGCCCAACAATGAACTGCATGCCTGCAGAGACGCCATGCCACTGTGGAACCAATACCATCAATTCCCCGTGAAGCCACAGGGATGCTATTCCGTTTGCCACCACGCTGACTTCAAAGACAAATCCATTTTCCATTTCCATTTCCAGCTTCCGAAGGGTCTCATCCCTTGCAGCTCGTTGGCTTGCATGAATTATAAGTCTTGGAAATCAGGCAGCCAATGCATAGATGCTCGAATGCACTCGCTGGCCTGTGCCGCAGAAGAGATCCACTCATCCTGGGCCGGATGAGCAGCATCAGGAGTTCTATACATCCTGCGCTGGACAATCCTACAAAACTGTTTGGCGAAAGCATTTGCAATCGCTTGGCAAAATGGTCCTGGGTATTCTTTGTGTCGTGCAGTTCTAAACCGACCCTGTTCATCAATTCCTATAGCTGCTGAAGTGGGTTTTACCACGCCACTAAGCGCCCGTTCATACAGGTCACCAGGGAAAAATGGCAACGCCCATGTCAGTAGGCCTGTCGGTTTAACGACATCAGCTCCCCATCTGTACTGTGCAACATGATGAAGGCGAAGATCTGGTAACTGCAAAAGCAATTGAACAATAGGACTAGACCATATGCTTGGACGGGACGGGTCAAAGGGTAGAGCCGGATGCTCCGCCACAAAAAACCCGCCTTTCACAATGTGAATGCAGAGAACCCAAATGCACTGGAGAAAAAAGGAACTCCCAACTGCACATTGTCTCAACTCCTTCAAGGACAACCCCTCCAGCCCAAATAGTCTAGCAGATGAGCGTAAGGGTCTCGGCCAGGAAAAGGAAGGATCTGGAGGCTCAGTAAAGCGTGCTTCACTAAACGTCTCACACGGTGGGCCGCACAACGTTGCGGCGACCCTTCCATCCAGGTACAGTGTGGACAGCATGTCCCAGGAAGTAGTGCCCTTCATAAGGTTCCCATATTCCATAGACACCGCAGTGTCGAGGGAAAGAACCAAAACCTGCCATGCGCACCCTTCTGCCATCTTCCTGAGTTCACAATGGAAGTCACCATCCCGTCTACACCCACTGAACAAATGGACAACAATGAAAAGAGGAGGTCCTTCAAGTTCTCGATATCGCGGACATTGTGCTTCTTCGGGAATCACATCAAATTTGCATTGCCTCAATCTGTTGAGCCAAGATTCCTGCTCTCCATAGGCACGTTTCACAAGGTGAGATACCTTAGAGGTGCACTTGGGATTCCGCCCTTCACATTGAACAGTTTTGACAGTGCGGTGAGGTTTAGGAGCCTCCTCCTCACAATGCCGCAAACTGGTTTCCAAAAAGGAAATACGTGCAAGGGTCTGATATCGTGGCAACTCTGCGGCAAATTGTGCAAATAGGTCATCCACAACGTACTCAGCTTCCCCATCCAGAAACTCTGCAATAACATCAGGCAACCAATGGTTACCCCAGGCAAGAAAAACCATCGCAAGCCAATTGTCCCAAGCAATGTTTCCTTCACCATAATCGATGCAAAGGATCTGAATCCAGCCATCAATCAATTCCGACTTTTGTGCTTCTGACGGCCCGACAGGGTAGTGCATTTGAAACCACTGCTGAGTGAAGTCAGTTAAGGCATCTCCAATCTGCTCCCCCCGCCCAAGAGCATCATCTGGTTGATCAGTCACAACGAGGCGCTGCTGACAATCGGCCAGTTCCGTGGCCCAGGCTTGTCTTTGCTTCTCAACCAATGTGATGGGCTCTTGCCAAGGGCCACAAGTTGGCAGTGATTCCCTACGGGCGAGACCAACAACCGCTTTAGGCATCTTAACTGCTGCGTATTCCACATGTCGACCTTGCGTCGACAAGGCTTGATAACATGGATTGTATCCAAGCTTTTTCGGAATATAAGCCAAGTGTTGCTGCAAACGCTGTGTAGTCCAGCAAAACTTGCCGCAGTGTAGGCAAATAGCCTCTTGCAGAAATGGATGTTCGGGCGAGAAGAGCTTGTGCTTGCGCCTCTGGTGGGCAAGCAAACCTCGATGAGACGCAAAACCCTCACCGCAGAAGCAGCGCTGTACACCCTCAGCGACTGCTGCAGAAAATGGGTCATGTAGAAATGAGGCACCAGATTGTCTGAGCACCTCAAAGGCAACTTTGTGCAAAGTGACCACTTCAGCCATCATTTTTTCTTGACACTGATGTTTCTTCGCAACCGCCTTAATCGTGCTCTTCCATCTGCTGCCTTGTTCCTGCCAACTGTCAATCAGCGGCGTCAAATCGGTCTCCCATCCACAAGGAAGAACAGTGGAGTTAATCTCCTGCACCCAGGCTAAATCTGCACGAAGACCTGCCAGCCAGGAGTCATGCGTACTGTCAGCTTCATAGTGAATGATGTTCTGCAGAAAGGCTGGGCCTACTGCATAGACCCTCTGAGCATACAGCAATCTGTCTACTGCTAATCGGACTCTTACATCCAGCACATGGGCATCCGCATAGACTTGAGCATGAGTTTGCATCCATTTGTCCTTAGGATATCTCATAACTTTTTTGAGTGAGTTAGCATAGAAACCTGAGAGTCGCTGCAATTGCTTTGGTGTCGGCGTGTGCCATGCACCTAGGCCAAGGAAAAGTTTGGAGGCAATAAGGGCTTGAAAGAAACGCAAACGTACTTCTTTCGGTAGATGTCGGTTGGTGAGCAGAGGCCGTGACAAATGTGTAAAGGCCGAAGCCGCAAGTCCAATGCGGGCTGACAACTCGACATCTAATCCATGATCCGATGCGTAAATTGTGCCTAGGTGCTTATATACCGGCACAAAATGAAGCCATGCCTCTGATTTGTCTGCAAATGTGCACAAGACTCCAGGCGTAGGTATCAATTGATATCGTTGGCGGTTGACACTGGCACCTGACCCACGGAAAGATACAACAGCATTGGTTTTGCCTAGTGCAAAGTTCAACAAGAACCCTCGGCCGTGAAGGGACTCACGTATGGCCCTGAGGAGGTCCAAAAGCAATGGAACTAAATCCCCTGCCTGATAAGTGGCCAATGGCACTGCAACATCATCAGCCCACAAAATGCTAGGGAACACTTCTCCATTGTCAGCCAAAACTGGCAGGTGAACTTTGTGTTCAGCAATCCATGCATCAACATCTTTCGCAATGGCTGCCATCAAAACATGAAATACAATGTCGGCAAGCGGACTGCCTGGCCGCGTGCCTCGATGCGTATGCAAACACTGGCGATTGGGAAGAGAGCACCACGTTTCCGCATGTATATCACACATCAATCTGGTGAGAGTGGGAGAAGCCCCAAGTTCCTCCAGTAGTCCAGGCAGTTGACATGCAGCTTGAATCTTCTCTGCAGGATGGCCTGACTTCTGCAGCACAGCCAACACCTCATCCAGATTACTTGACGTAGATAAGCCAGTGACAAGCTCTCTAACAAGATGATGAAAGGCATTTGACAAATCAAGAAACAGGACGGCACTACTCACCCCTTTGCGGTCTGCAAGCACACCGAAAAGACGCAGCGCTTGGGAGCCAAACATAACCTGCTGGCCGGGGAATCCCCCCAGTTGGCCCGGGGCCCGCTGTGGTGTCAGACAAGACAAAACTTGCTGTCGCAAAACAGAGTGGGTACGCTTAGCCATGTTGCCCAAAAGCAAAATACCACGAAACTGCTTGGCTGTGGTAGGTGCCAGACACTTCGGAATAATTGCGACTGGGCCACCCTTGTATTGCAACGGCTCTGACTGCCACAAAAACTCCTTAATCAAGAGATCATGATAAGCTCCCGCAAGGATATGAGCTCCATAGTGGAAAAGGCCAGAGGGAATGGGGTCATCACCAGTTGCCTTATCCGATGCCGTGCGGCGAAACGCATCTTCAAGAGCGAACACCGATGGTAGATCCCCTAGGCGAATGGTTCTCGGAGCATCGAATAGGCTGCATGTTTGGCGGTGGACACAACCTTGTAAGAGATCGGGCATGGTTGTCAATGTGCCTGCTTCAAGCTGTCCAAAGTGGGGAAGCCATTGATCTTCCAATCCTTCCAACTGAAATGGTGGCGTAGTCATGCGCCGCTGTTGGAATTTGGGCAAAGATCTACGCACGACTTTCCATAAACTTTTGACTGCATGCGGCCCAAGAAAGGCCGCACCCTCCTGAAGCAAATTGTCATAGAATGCAACGTCATCTCTGCGCAATGCTTTGACAACTTGGCGTCCTAAACAACGAAACCTGTGGTAGGCCACTGCAATGAGGTGATCCTGTTGCCGAAGCAAGGCATCATATGTTGCCAAAAGTTCACACGACTCCAGTTCGACCGCAGCGTGTCTCCAGCGTACAAACCAAGCAGCCAACAGCGTCCGTCTGTGCACACGCCCATGCTCCCCCAGCTCATTCCGCGCTTCTCTTTTTTGAGTAACTAAATCCCAGGTGTCAAGGGACATAGTAGCTTTCAACGGCTGTCGCACTTTCTTCGTCTGAGAACTCCAAAGTTGATCAACCAAATCATTTTGCAGTTGGTGAGCATGAGAATGCACATCCAAGGCCCAGGTATATGGAGGAAGTGGTACAATGGGCATCTCCGCTAGTCCCTGAAGGTTCAACTTGAACGGCTTTTTCGGCACAGAATGAGGGAGGCACGAAACCGAACGGACCAAATGGACTATCGGGACTCGATGGTCCTCCTTGACCAGGCCTACATCAATAGAGGTACTAACCCATGAATGGCAGGAATCATAATGCCATTCACTGGGGAGACCAATAAAATCATTGCGACACCAACTGCCATTATTGTGTAACCAGGTGCCTCCTTCCCCTGAATGACAACCAGCAAATGTAGCTGGTAGAAACAGACCCTGGGAGCGCACAAATTGGGTGAATCCCTCTTCCTTGCCAGACCCCTTTTCTGCTTGGTGTGGTCCAATATGTTGGCAAGGTTCAGAGCCAACACGGGCATTTGCATCGACCAGCAAAAGACGAGGCCACATATCATATTTTGCCGGAATGGCACTGGCAAGCTTTTTCCACCAAGCAGAAATCTCCGCTTCCGTTGCACCTGAATGTGGTGCATGCCCTGCGACAACAATGGCTCGAAAGAGGGTTGTCTTGAGTCGAAGAATTAAAAACCTGGGATCGGTCGCAATAACTGAGGCATCCTCCTGTGAAATGAATATTTCCTTCTCAGTCTCACCACTACGCACTTTGCCAATTGGCCTAGAACGCATCAGCCCAATGATGATACCATAGTGGCCATGAGCAGTTGCAGCTGCCTTATACAACCAGTATCGGGAATCATGGGCATTGGTAAGACGTTTCAAACGTGTTTCCTGCATCGCAAAAATGTGAATTTGTGCTTCTTCCAATTGCCTCAAAAGACTGTCCTGTCTTGACGGTCCATGGACGTTTGGCTGCTTACCTTGACCAGATGATAACGTGAGAACATTACATGTGGCCAGTCAAAGCGATAATTCCCCGATGACAGGACTCAATGGACTCGAAGCCGTTTCAATCTCCCCAGAGACATTGACAATCTCATATGGTGGCACTGTAGCAGGAGCAGCAGGTAGGCACAAAGCACTTCCATTCCAGACCAAATCAGACCGAAATAAGTACCAGAACCATTCAGACATGCTAACAAAATGTGCCGTGGTAACCGACCGAAGCCAATCACTCAGCGTGTGCAGCGGCTCTCCCATAGCCGCTTGGTAGGCGAGAGTGTCAACCAATTCATTGCCAGGCTCTCCAGAGTGCGCTTTGACATGCTGGTAACCAATCTGCAGTTGGAACCTCGTTTCAATGCATTTCTGTAAGCCTCTCAAAAAACGTCCATATCGAGGTTCAGAGAAAACATTCCATTGGCCCGATGACTGCATGCCTGCGGTCAATGAGTCATAGCAGAACGTCAGGTCTACTCTGGGGGAGGACGCATGCATAGCAACCAATTTCAAGGTGTCGAAGGCAAGTTTTGATGCAATAATGCCTGCTGCCAGCTCCGCAGTATAGGAGGTAAAGGAATCCGGTAACTGAGTTGACACAGCGCCAGCAAACTGCCATTGACCAGATACCTGTACAAACACAACAGCGGATGCACCAGCCTTCTTCCCTTCTGCAGTGTGAACATGCGACCCATCAAAATAGATACGCACAGAGGATCCCCCTGAACACGGATCCCACCATGGTTCAAGCCAAGGTAAACTGCAAGGCAGGAAAGGGAAATGGCGAGGCAAATCAAATTGCGGCAGGAGGAAATGAGAGTCAAGCCGTGCAAAAGCCTCCAACACATCCGAGAAGTCAATTTGAGCGTGCAAACTTGTAAGCCTTTGTTGATACATCCAGAAACTGACACAATATCCAGACAAGAGCGTTGGCCAATCAGAAGCTGAACAGATACGACCTTGCACAAAAATATCCATGGCTTCTAATATGGGGCAGCCTGGTTTGCCTTGCAGCCTGGACCACAGGAGATCAGTCGGGGCATCATTGGGCACAAGAGCCGCAACATGATCGACAAATTTTTGCATACCGTTATCCTGAACTCTTTCCAGCAAAACTGCAACATGCTCCACAGGAATGTCATGGACAACCAGAAAGGCAACTTCTTCCATAGTGTCTTCATCAGCAACACACCTACGTAGGGTATCAACCGCAAAGACATGGCACACCCGCCCTTGAATGACTTCTTCCCAAAGGCCCTCTGCAATCTTGAACAAGCATTGGTTAGAGCGCGCCACAGTGTGACGGAACTTGCGACAGACTGTGTTACTGGCATCCAAAAACCAAGCCACAAGACGGATTGGAGTACCATTTGCCGTGACACCAGTAGATGTAGTTTCGCCGTGAACCAATCGTGTCCTGGTTTGCAGCAAGTTAAGACTATCAGTCCCCTGTGGCGGTGGCATGAAGGGTGGAGTCCAATCACTTGGCAGGAAGGGTCTCGTCACCTGCACGTAAACGCAATCCCCATCTCGGATCGCCAAGGGGCGGCCTTCAGCTGCAGGTAGGGATCCTAATCGCAACAAGCATTGTGCCCTTTGTAAGTAGCAGTCACGATCATAACCCACACCTTGTAAGAGATCTCGTGGGAGTGCCCGCTCTCCAACCGTTATAACCATCCGAAAAGGGTGACCTCGGTGGATATCGCTATCAGTGATAGTCATCAATGGTGAAGACATGGTCTCCAATGGATGTTGTACCATGACAAGATGACCAGCAACACCAGACTCGAGCGATTCCGGTACTGGGATAACTGGTATAAAGTCAATGGGCAAAGAAGGATCAGCTTGGTCAGTCCAAAGATCTCGAAGGATACGCTCCCACTGGGTGAAATCTGAAGCCAAAATTGCGCGACGGCTGTACAAGCATCGTCCATGGCCGGTGCCCGGAGAGACAAACCATGTCATGAAGATAGACGTGGAAGCTTCCCTTACCTCATCAGTGATACTCGTTGACCACAGATGATGCAGGTCCTGCATCCACTCAGGCTGCCTGGCGATAGAGTGCAAACCAGGGTCAAAGACTGGAGCATCTGGATTGAATTGAAAGCAATGGCCTGGGGCCTGCATTAGTGCTAAATCGTCAAAGCGAAGGTGTTCCAGCTCCTGCTCAACGGGATCTGGCTTCGGTGGCGAGATAGTAATTCTCAGGCTCTGCCCCGATCGGACCTCAATCCATTCATTGGGTGGCAGAACCTGTCGACCTCTCACAACATTACAGCGTCGGGCAGTGCATAAGTGCGCCATTTCCATAGCTTGTAGCATGGAGAGCAAATCAGTGCGCACATCAACAGAATAAGCACCCTGCACAATACTGTCATTTGGGAATCCTTCAATGAGAGCTGTGAGCACTACACCTGCCTGATGTTGCCATCTACCCTGCTCCAGCAAAAGGTGGCAAGTCATCCTCTGCACACGCATTTGCGTGGGTCTCGGGTGCACTACATGGATTGAGAAGGGGAGATTACGATCTAACAGGTCCGCCCAAACCGTACGTAAATCCTCAATCCAAGTAACCACATTTCCATCTAAACGAACAGGTCGTGATCTGCGGCATACTGGTCTCAAACCATGATGCACGTACCAGGTGGTGACTTCCAGGGTGCGGGCATCGTCCCATGGATTCGTCTCACCGTACTGCTGAAAAAGCTCGCCTAATTGCCAGCTCCATTCAGATTCTCCATCATGTCTCGGCAAAGCCCGAGGGGGTAAATGGGGAGCCGGCAAAATCATTGGCAAATCATCCGGAACATCAAATGGTGCTGGTTTGCAGGTAGTGGCAGGTTTATTGGTTTTAGATAGGACCACACCCTGTTGGTACAAGCTAAAACCATCAGCGATTTGATCAGTAAAGACATCAATGTCATGTTCATCAATGACAACACCAAGGTGACCCCCAGTCTGCAAGATGATATACTCGCCTGGCAGATATGTCCGTCCATCAAACTGCACAAAAGCAGGTCGGTGGGCATGCTCATCGGGTACAGTCATACGGAGCACTTCACGTACTGAGACTCTGCTAATGAAAACATGTGCAAAGCGTCGCCAGCGCAATTGCAAGACAGTGTTTCCAAACAAAGTAATAATGACTGCACAATTATTGGTCGGCAGGCCTTGCGCAATAATCATCTGTACTTCTGGCGAAGGATGTTCACTGCTACTCAATGGTGCATGCAAGACACGTATGTCTGATGGCATGGCCCGTAGCAATCTATCTCTCCAAGAGAAAATCAAGTCCGTTCGCCATGAAAGTGGGTCCTCTTGCAGTCGAACTCTACGTGGATGATCACAGTGAAAGTCAGGATGTGCATTTAAATACCAGACTTGACCATACAACACTGGTCCTTCTTCAAGATCTTCAAATACATGATGGAAATTGAAGTGTCGCTGCAGGACGCTGATCCATTCTGGTCTCGTGTCTGGGGACATGTCAACATCGTGTAACGCTGGGAAGTCTGTACCATCTGGTGAGTGCAGAAAGCTAGGATCAGGCGGTCGAATGAAAATATCATGACGCATGGAACTTTGTAGCACCTCTCTTAATCTGGAGTGGCTCATATCCAAGAGTTGTGAAATTTCGAATCGAACTCCCCTAGCCACTAGGAGCCGAAATGCATGTCCCATGTGCACATTGATGACAGATGACTCTGAAATTGGCATCCGTCCAAACCAAAGACTACAGTGATTCCTGAGGTCAGGCGGGTGACAATCAGCTCTGAGATGCAACAGATCAATCAACCTTGATAGTGTGAGCTGCTGAGGAACAACTAAAGCAAAGGTAAAGGGCGACCTTTCAGCATCTGGGTCAGAGTCATAAACAGATAAAACTGACGAGCGTTTCACAGGCACAGCTCTCTGTGTGACGATGAGCTGAGCAAGGATTCCGACTGCAGCATCCTCCGGCAATGGATCAACCACAACAATGTGAATGTCATCTGAACCATCTAACTTATCCTGCCATGTGTTCAATAAAAGCTGTCGCCAACTTAAAAAGTCATCCGGCAAGAGTGTGATTCGTGGCGTGTGACATCTCAGGACTGCATCATGATCCAAAAACCAGCTCTCGATCCTACATCCAACATTAGCGTTGCCAGTTGACACATCCTGTACAGACAGAAACCGATCCCACAGAGACTGAATGAATTCCGGCTGAGCAATAATCGAACGAGGATCAGGCAGAGGATGGGTAGGCGGGTCCATCCTCTGAGCTTCCTCTTGCGCAGCAACAGCTGCCAAGAACTCATCTGTGAAGCTGCTACTAACAGGTTTCCCACACATGTTAGATACGCCTTGTTCTACACCTGAAGGTTTGATCACGGCAAGACTGCGGCTTTCAGATTGAATCTGCAACAGGTGAGTGGCATCAGCAAGTGGCAACGTTTCACTAACTATCTCAGGCAAAACTTGGATCTGAATACCCATGCCATTCCTGGTCTGAAACGTCTGGTCAGGTTCGGCAAGGGTAGGGAATTGCCATCGCAAGCGAGAGTCAGGAAAACGTGCAAAAAATTGCCAATGGTCAAAATCATGTCTACTACACTGTCGAGGTACGGCAACTGCATACCGAATGATGACACTCCGGGACATTGGAAGCAGTGGATCGACAAAATCTAATGACAACAAGACAGAAGACAGTCTACCCGGCCGCTGCGTCAGGATGATGTGGGCTACGTGTTCTTCCAAGTCAGATCGCGGTACAAATGGAGATACCAAATCCAAAAACACATGTTCGTCTGGTTTAAGGATGTGCCGCCAAGGATAGAGAAGATCTTCTCTCCATTCAGCAACAAAACCACCTAAGACCGCTATCTTTGGCTCATTGCATGAGGCATGGGTCTCATGGTCTAAGAACCACGTGTATACTGAAATCATGAAGTCATCAGGATTATCAGAAGTGCAACGTCCTTCCAAATTCTGCACTATCCTCTGCAAGTCGATAAACCAATCTTCTGCAATGGTGGAATCACTTGATGTTCGAGCCAATGGGGAGTCGACAAGAGCATCTTGTTCATGACCCAAACTTCTAAACGCATCACCCAACTGCATAGCGTGAAAATGATCTGCTTCCTCTGCTTCAGCCACAACATTTGGTGTTGCCAGTGATCGTACTTCATCCTCATCAACCAGAGTTGGTGAGTAACCTGCAACAGCTTCCGCATCGGCAAGTTGATGCAAGATTTCGTTATCTGAGAGGCCACGTTGCGTTAGATCCACAATCTGAGTGGTGGCACAAACAAACCTTTCCGATGGTGGCAAAGCAACACGAAAATAATCTCCATGCGCAATATGTCGACGATCATAGTCAGTATCTTGCCAGCGAACTCCATCGTGCCAAAGAAAACATCTTCCGTTTTCACGTTCACAGTATGTATCAACCCCAGCAACTGTAAGGATGCCACGACGATCGCACCATTCCGGGGTGACCAATACCATCCGCTGTGTAGCAGGCCCAAGATGAAAAGCCGCTTATGAAACTCCAGATCAAACAAGGCCAGTCGTGCACTCTGGCCAACAGGTATATCTGGTAGTAAATGTACAATAATAGGCACTGCTTCAGGTAGAGTTCCTGGTAGATCTGAATTGATCTCATACGCGTCCACCACATTGATTGGAACAGTGGCAAAATGATGTGCAATTTCTGTGATCATGCTATCATAGTCGGACCAATCCAAAAGTGCTCGCAATGGTGGATCTTGTAAATGAAACATGATCACTTCTTGTCGCCCTGAGACCGAACGGGGCGGCTGAATTCCAGAGCTGTCAGAGGAGCCAGAGCGACTATTACGTGAATCTGCACTACTGCCTCCAGAGTTTCCAGCATCATCATTGTCAGACTGAGGCTGCAAAACGGTCTGCCCTCCAGCAAAGGTTTCAACCATAGCAGCATCCTGTTCTGAATGAGGCGCATGTTTGAAATGGGAGATTTGCATCAAGTTCATACCATCATATTGAGGACCCTTTGCCCGGCTCGACACGGCCAATTTTGACAGCGGTTCCAGGGCAAGGGTCGGAAAAGAAAATGGAAAATGAAAGACTTCTGGACAATCTTGAATAGGGTCTCCATCAGGAGAACCTTTGCGATTCTTTTTCACTTTGATCCTTTTTTTACTCCATGGCTTATCAGTCCAATCTTGTAAAGCACTGGAGTGCAAATGAATGTGATGCATGTCCAAGCTATCCTCTGACCCAATGAACACGTCAATCTGATCCACAAACCCTACATGCAAATCCCTGTGCCGCATGGAATGAGATCTCTGAGACCGTGCAAGAGGAGGTGAGGTTGGAATATGCAAAGTATCAAACATTCGGCCAAATTCATTGTAGCACATTTTGATTACTTCCCATTGAAGACAGAATGCATCCATAACTGCTTGCAAAGGGTCAACAAATCGTTTTTCATGGATCACTGAGTGTGTCCAGGGGAGAAAAGGCTGATAAGAGCTGTCCATGCCCGCACATGCTGCATCAGTCACTGCGAATGAGGACCAATAGGCATCAGTGCAAACATCTGTAACGGACCATGTACAGGCCCCATGCCAGGGATTGCATTCAACTCCCAGAGCACGGCCAAGACTCACGAAGCAGGTTTGGAGGGAAATGGCTCCAATGATCGCGGCCTTTTTGATGGTTTGTCTCCCTCTGGCACCTCTGCATCTTCCGCAATCTCGATGGTCTTGTGAGAATCGATGTCCAGACCAAGAGATCCTGCACAATTCCTGAGCACAGCCTGAAGGTTGTTTCTCATCGTTTCCTCTTCCTTGTCGGCTGTCTCTTCCGCATTGTCCTCCGCATCCATGACCGGGATAGAGGCGGGAGGTGGTGCTGATGTGCCTCCTGCCGTGTGGCTGAGTTGTTGGATAATCCGGCTTGTCGCCGTGATTTCGCTTCGAGCTTTGCTCGCTTGTTCCGTCAGGAAGGCCTGATGTTTTCGATACTCCTCCAATTGTTGCTCCCAGATTTGGATCCCTGCTGCCATGTGTTTCATCCACAATGCACGATGGGCTCGTCGGTGATCCAAGACTTCACTCAGATGATCTTTCACCTTCCCCAAATAGGTTGTGGCTTGGTGGAGGTTCTTGATCCCTTTCCTCCCATGATCCTTCTCCGCTTTCTCGACCAAAATCTTGGTCTCCTCCGGCATCAAAGATGGGTCCGGGTACGCCTTCCGTAACGCGTCCACACATTCCTGATCCTGAGCAGCCAGAGATGAGCTTGCCGTCGCAAATGGGTTGGGAGACAATGTGGAGGACGGAGTGAAAGCAGACGTATCCATCGCCGCCCAAGGTGCAAAGTTCTTCGCCTCTGCCTGGAACGGGGAAATCTGATCGTCCTGCTTGGCTTGTCCTTTCCCTTTCTTCCCTTTCTTCCCTTTTGCCGTGCCCTTGGCCTTGGCTGGCATCTGAGAAGAAGCAGAATTTTTCCCATAGGCTTGTTCTGCAGCGCCAAAATGACGCCTGCTTGCTGAGCGACTGGATGAACGTGAATGGTCTTCCCAGTTGTCCCAGTCGTCCCAGCCCTGTGAATTCCAACCATAGGTTGCCTTGCCTTTGACCTTCGGCTGGGTAGGGTGGCGGGTCCCTTGTGTCCAAGGAGCGTAGCACACTGCGCATTCCGCATGCCATTTTTTGTTGATCCGCCCGCACACACATTTCCATGGAAAATACTCTTGATTTGCATCTCCTGTATACTCCATATCCATCACTTGGGTAATTTGTGAGATGAGACTCGGGTCTCGACTGTGGTGTTTTGAGAGGATCCTGCGAATCCTTAACAGGCCAATCTTGCTCAATGCGATATAGCCCTTTTTGTAAAGAAACCAGTTCCTTCGCGCTTTTGCTCGATCTCTCCGCGCCTTCCGGCGGGTTGTATTGATCACGGCCAGAATTCTGAAAATGGAAAATGAAGACAATCAAGATCAGAAAACAATGGCGCAAATAACACATAAACCTCTGAAATGTCAAATTCCACAGGAAAAAACAGCTGCAATAGCAAGCACTATAACAGGAGTCCCCAGAGAAGATGTAGAGGCAAGTGCACAAGAATGTAGATCTTTATCACGAAGAGGAAAAAGCCAGGGCAAGCCGTACAGCGATCCAAGTTCGATCCAAAGATGAGGAAATCAAATTGTAAATTGAAAACACCAGTGGTACGATGACAGCAAAGGTGAATTGCAAAATCAAAATTGAAAATAGCCAATGTAGGCCCAAGAAAGGCAGCTACAAAGGAAATCCAAGGGTTTTGAAGGATAACCCTAAACCTAAGCTCCGACAGCACTTGCAGAGCCCGCGGGTTAGGCCAAGAAACCCGCTAAGGCGATGGCGACGCCCCCAAAGGAATGAACAAACCGAGGGGAGCTTGATCCAAAGCCTTCAAAGACAAATCTGACAAATAAACAGAAGCAAGTTAGTGGTTTTTTCTAGCGCCTGCAGCTAGAGTTGCCGTCAGGGGATCAAACATGACACGAGAAAATCACTGCAATTCTTGGGTGATTTCCCAGTAAAACATACCAAAATGTGCCA